GGAGCTTTACCGTTCAGGAGTGGTTAGAAAGAGTTGCATTTGGTTCCTCCAATGGTAACACGAGGTCCTACGTAAAGATCATATATTCGTTTAACCATATCTTTCTAATTAATCAACGCCACAGGAATTCAACGCATCACCATCACAAATGTGGCTTTCAAAACCATTATAAATAAAGTGTTCGTCCTAGGGATCTTTTAGGCAGGCGAATTAAGCTAATACAGCAGGCCGTAGAAATTCTGGCATTCCATGAGAGTTTTTTCTTCTCTGAAAACAACATTTTGCTTTGCTTTGGCTTTAAAACTGATTGAGAATTGACGTATGTACGCTTCTAACATCATTTGCAATGGAACATTATGGAATCTAGCTGCCTGCTGGAGTTTTCCAAAAGAGCATATGTCTGACTGTTGATCGGTTTCACATTGTGGAACTGGTTCATTATTTCAAAGTTATTCCCTTTCATCACGCTCCATTGGTTGATATATATTTCTACTTCTAAGTCATAAAGATTAGATACGCATTAATTATTTAAAATCGAATTAGTCAAAAAAGCCATGTGCAGCTCGCCGGCCTCGTTGCGTTAAATTTCAATTGATTAGTCTTTTTTGGCCAAACATATAATTAGTTGTTGGGCATTATAGTTTAGTCATACATGCACATATTTCTATAGTGTAGGATAAAAACAATCGTATGCAATATATACTAGTTATATTGTTGTTTTAAATCGAAACGGTAATTTATAATTCAGTTAATAATTAAGCCGTTAAATCTGATTTTTTTTAGTCTACGCATTAATTGTGAAGATCTTTTTGATGAATAAATGTGAAGATTTTAGACCATGCTCTTTGTTAGATTAATGCTTAATTAATCTATTGATACGAGATCAAACTCGTCGTGGCATTGTTTTATCTTTTCAAAGGAGTGTATATATAGATAGATAGAGAGAGAGAGAGAGAGAGAGAGAGAGAGAGAGAGAGAGAGAGAGAGAGAGAGAGAGAGAGAGAGAGAGAGAGAGAGAGAGAGAGTGAGTGAGTTAGCTAATAATATTTGAAAGTAACAGTAATTTGTCTTTTTTGAAAGTAACAGTAATTTGTCTTTGTTGCTTATCTTTTTGTGCGTTGACGACTGAATGAAACAATATGTGATATGTGGTGCCAAAAAAGGTTGGTGCCCCACCGTGGAGAGGTTGACGTAGTTAAAGTAGGAATTAATTAGGAGAGTGTCATTATTGTGGGCGACATTGAAATTAAGTTCGCTGCGAGGAGAGATGAAAGGAAATTGGATAAGGGCATTGACTCGAGAAGCGTGGCATTAGATTAATAGATATTTTCTCCATCCTTAAGATGTTTTTAATTAAATATCATATATTAATAAAAATTTATTATTTAATTAAATTTACATAAAAAACACAATAATTTTTCAATTTTATCTCTAATAATATCATGATTAATATTATGATGTAGTAGGAAAAACATATATTTAATGATCTATTTTATTTTTTAAGAGAAGGATAAACTTGTTTAATTACTTAAAAAAATTATTGTTACTCTTTATATTTAAGGACAAAATAAATTTTTAAAAAATACCTTGTATATAGAGATAGAGAGAGTATTTCTTAACTACCTGTTGATTTAATGTTGTTGATGATATTATTTGTGATCTAAGTACTTAATTAGACTTGATGACTTTCAATGATTTTATCGATTTCATTCACTTTTTTATCAAATAGGGAGCCATCTAAACTTGTTTTTACATAAGTTAAGCTGTTTATTGCCTGGTATAAATACTCTCTAGTTTTATCCAATCAGGAAAATATTATGACACCTCAAAAATGATTGTGCTTGTAATTGCTTGAGGGTCAGTTTAAAGGGAAGCGCGCAACCAATAATCTATTGGATGAACCCTAAATCTCAACATTTTTAGTGCGAATGTACTCTTCTCATAATAAATTTAAAAAAAGAAAGAGAGGATAAAAGGAGCCTCAATCATTCGCGTGATTGGATATAATAGGCTAATGGCAACCTACATGAGGATTTCTGGCCCATTGTGTTTATGGGTTTAAGAAGTTTCATTGGAGGGAATGTAAGTTTGGGTTACCTCATCCAAGGGAACATGAAATTGGGCCTCGAATGTTTTGGTCGAACTTCGGTCTCCTGGTTAGTATGCGTAAGGCAACATGTTATGTCATGATTTCATGATTTAGGTAGCCCAAGCCCAATTGTCAAGGACTAGATTTAGTGTGCGATGAAGTATTGTATAAGAACTAATAAGGTATTTCGATGACTCGGAAATAAGTTAAGCTGTTTATTGGCAGAAATATTTGTTTAAGCAGAATCGAGAGATTTAGGATCATTTTTGTCAATTTCGAGGATGTTACAATTGATTATGGTATCATTTCTATATTGTGGCCCAGCATGTGAGCCCGAATACTGAACAGTGAAATGCAAGTTTGGAAGAAATAAATCAACAAAGTTGAATTTAGTAGGATGAACTAATCTCTCACAATATGATAAATTAAAATTTAAAATTTTATTAAAAAAGATATTTATATTTAGTGTCTTAAATAAGATGATCTCTGATAAGAGAATTTTGGTGAGAAATCAAAAGGAAATTGCAAGAAATGATCTATTGATTTTGAAAACTAGCACAAATCATTATATTTTTCGGAAGATACGGTTATAAGTGCGCGCGCGCAGAGAAGGCAAGCACGAGGCTTGAGAAGAGAGAATAGACTAGGAAGACAAACAAAATTAGCAGATCAAATTCCTCCCTCAGGGCAGGAAGTATGTATATTTGATTCGGAAAATATAATGTTGAAGTGGAGAAGTTGGTGTGGAGAGGGGGAACAGTTAAAGATTTTTTTTTTTTTTGACCGTGGGCGAATTGGCTTCACACTAGGTTATTCATGTTTGTGCCTGTGTGGATTAGGTTTAATCTGGCAACTTTTCAAGCGCTTGCCCTTAAAAATAAAAAAATATTAATTTTTTTAATTGTTATTCAAGTTGACCTGTGGAGCTTAATTTAAATTAATGATTTTAAAATTCGGTATACATTTATTATATTATTTTTTTGCCAAATAATTTGTTGTTTCCTCTATTTTACATTATAAGGTATTTAAAAAAAATTAATATTTTAAATAAAAAACTTTGATAAAAATAAAATTTTATTAACAATATTTTTTTAATATTATCTTTTTTGTTAATATTTTCATGAATGAAATATTAAATGAATAAAATTTTTAAAAATTTATATTTTTATAAAAAATAAAATTATAAAATATATTTAATAAATTTTATTAGTATGTACTCCTTCCAATTTTATTTATAAGTTTTTTAAGCCAACATTATCAATACCAATACAATTAAAATATAAAGAATAAAAGTAAATAAAATCTCAATACAACCCTCAAGTAAAAAGTTAAAAAAAATATAATATTATTTTTTTACTTTTTCTTACTTTTTGATAATATTTTAAGAAATGTAATTTAAAATAAAATAAATTTATTAATTAATGATTTATAAAATGAATTAAATTTTACTTTTAAAATATAATTAACATATAGAATTGAAGGAGCATAATTTTATTTAAAAATATTTTATAATTTAGGATGAAAATATTTTCATTTGACACATTAAAAGGTCACGTCACTTTTCTTTAAACAATTTCGGTCTTGTTTAATTGTAGGAGCAGGAAAAGCTGAAGTAGTGGTTGGCAAAAAAGAAAGAAGAAATAAAAAGTTAAAGTACAGAAGGGAAATGACCTGAGCAAAGCGCTGACAAAGCCAGAAACTCATTTTTGAAAATACAAAAACGTTTTTCAAAAAACAAAAAATGTCGCCTTTCTTCATTTTATGAGATGATCACAACAATTGCTTCCTTTATTTATTGTTGCTGTGAACCAAGCTGCTTCTAATTCCTTCTTGCTCTTCGTTTCGCATCTTTCCATCTCGCTGAAGCCCTTCTCAATCATTTTACATCTTTCTGTGATCTGCTCAGATAAATAATCTGGTGGCCGTGCCTGCTGGATAGTAAAGTCACTATCATTATATTATATTCAATTTTTAAGATCATTGTGTTTTTTCAGAAAAAGTAAAGTTAATCTTTATAAGCGTAAATTAATTGTAAGGCAGAAATGTAGCCCAAGCAAAAAAATGCATGGGAAAAAGGATACAAAGAAATTGACATGTAAATGCAGCCCGATTCTCTGTGACCTCTTACTGTTACCTTAAGCTCTCCGATCTCTCTGGGAGATACCCATAGGGAATGCATAATGTAACACAATTTTCCTTGTTCAACGTGTGTTCACCAAATATTCTCTCAAAAAAAAAAAAATTGTTTTCCCCAAATGCTACTGCTACCCATTTCCCTCTCTGTTTATTAACAACTCAAGCAGTTTTTATTATCATTTTAAAATTATTTTGAATATCACTAAAATGATCTCAGCCCTCATCCAAAAGGCTTCCACCGGCCATAATTTATTATACTTGTTCCCAGTTCCCACGGTTTTGTTCTTCATCATGCATGCATGTGCTGCTTTACACAAAGATGTGACACGTGTCAAATTAAAGTACATCAATTAAGGATTCTTTTCACCAAAAGATAGCATCTTCAATTATTCAAACAATTTCTGATGACATGTGAGGGTACCTCGCTCACTTTTCTAAATTATAAACTGATTCGCAATGGAAGATTGTTAAAAAGTATGGGAATACAAGAGTTTTATTATTAAATTTTTTGGGCCGAGGAAGGGAATCGAGAATGATAGATCCATTGAGATCTGATCAAAGAAAATTAAAAAAGGGACCTACGTACTGAAACTGCCTCTATTTTGGTTAAATAAAACATGGAGCAAAGCAAAAGGCAAAGCAAGGGATTTGACAAAAGCACATACATAGTATGTGGTGCTTCTTCTCACCCACCCACATGAAACCGGCCCAGGAGAAGCCTCTGGTTTTAAGGCTTTCAGTGTTCCCTCCCTCGGTAACATAGTCTCAAGTCTGAACCCGGGGGCCATGCTCAAAATCAACGGCAAGCACCAGATGTCACACATCTCAATCTCCCAATTCTCTATCCCTTCCCTCTACTCTATATATAACCTCCCTTCCCCTCACGTCCCACTTCATCACAGTCCTTCACATAGCCTCTCTTTGACAATTCCTCAAACACCTTTCGGACGTTAACACATAACCCAAAATGTCACTTCATTCGTGGGTTTCAGAACACAAGCTCGCTTCCATTGGTATGTTTCATCATATATTCACATCCCAGTTTTTCCATTTTCAGGATGCATGCCTCATGGGGTGTTGATTGGAATTGCAGGGGCAGTATGGGCCACAGGAATAGGTGCATCCTTCCTCGCTAATTCGCGAAAAACCTCTGCCATGAAACCCAGTCTGAGACTTATTCATGCCAGGTATAATACCTCCATGGACGTGGCTTTCATGCTCTGTTTCAGTTTTAACACATTTCTTTGCTGAAATTAATTGGGGTCGTTTGGGTTTTTGATGAAGGATGCATGCTCAGGCCTTAACACTGGCGGTGCTGTCTGGTGCTGCAGCTTATCACTATTATGAGAAACGTCGTCTTTCTGATTCGGAAGCCACCAAACCACAGGTGGAAACTGCTCGTGCTGATACCAGAAGCCTGGTTGAATGGGATGTCCTATCTCCTTTCTAATTCAAGGGTCTATCTCATATCATTGCAGTGAATAATTTCACGTTTGATTTATGCATCGTTCTGTCTGGCTTTTGTTATCTTATTTCTGAAAGCCATCATTCTCCTTCGACTATAATGAGAACCCGTTTTCCAATGTACATTCATTTCTCTCACTAGTTTCTGCGGCTTCTCTCTTCTTCAGCCTTCCCTTCAACAAGATAATCATCCACGTGGAACCTAATTAAAGGTTTGTACTGATTCGTTACCAAAAACTTAAAAAAAAAAAAAAAACCCTGATACCTCACTTTTTTTAATTAATCCGCGTGATTTAAAATTTATGAAAATGCTTCCTGTAGTTCATGCAGTTTGCGGAGCCACTCAAACAATATCGAATATTACTATTATTTGATAGACCAAGTACATAACCGGTCTAATGTTTAATCAACCCACTAACAAAATTATATTCAAATTTAAATTTTCTTTCCAGCACATTCTTTTTGATCATATTTATATTAAATTCAAAATCATTTAGATTTAATAAATAGTGTCATATAAACCTAGAATAAGTTGGCATAACCTTTTACCTCTTTATTCGGGTTGAATTTATTTGTATACCAGATTATATAAAAATAAACAGGACGAGCCTTCGCAGATTTTTCCGGGTGTTTTAATTTAGCAAGAATTTGGAACTACGGAATGAACTCAGGTTCGCAACAGGAGGAAAATGAAATTATGAAAAATGATAAATACTTCAACTCATTCAAATAAATTCGTAATGCTTCACATTTTTAACTGCTAGTTAGCACGACCTCAAACATGATTTCACACACACAATTTTTACCTTAGCTAGCTCAATAAATTTAAAACTGCCAAAACTCAGCTCACCGTACGTTCATTCCATCGTTACATGAATGAGACATTCTTGTATAGCTTCATGGCTTCACCTTACGCCAACCCTCTAACCTCATGCATGTTACTTCTGATTCAATTGATGAGCAACAGAGCAAGTCCAATAAATCACAATATACATCCTTCTCGCGATCAGATTCACGTATTCTATGAAACCTTTAATGAGCCCCATACACCATTCCTCTAGTTTTCGTTAAAAGCTTGGACCATGCATGTATTATATATTGGAAGTCCTAAATTTTTGATACTTGTGATTCTAGAGATGAATCCAAAGTTGGCTTGCTCTTCATTTGAATCACACATGAACCTCAGCTTTCACCTCCACTATTTCCCTCTTGTAAACGTATCTACTTGAGGCCCAAAGAAACGCCAATAAGTTGGCACATGAAATCACCAACAGAAACCCATAATAGTAATCCAAGTGACAATCATTCAAGTTGTCTCCTATCCAGCTCTTCTTCCCACCTCTTCCTGTAATCTTCGCCACCATGGTTACCAGAAAGCTGTTCAAGAAATTCCCAACACCAATCCCACTTGTGAAGAACGTTGTGCCGAGGCTCTTCAACTCGTCTGGGGATTGATCGTAGAAGAACTCTAGCAATCCTATGGCGTTGAACACATCTGCTATTCCAATCAGTACGTACTGAGGCAACAGCCAGAAAATGCTCATAGGGACAATATCTTTAGGCCTTACCAACCCATGTGTTGTAATGACGTGCATTCTCTTAACTTCAACAGCGTATGCAATTGCAACGGCTATGATTTGGATCAAAAACCCAATTCCCAGCCTTTGAAGCAGTGTGATCCCTCTGGGATTTCCTGTTCTCTGGCGCATGAAAGGCACGAAGAACCGATCGTACGTTGGCACGGAGAGGAGCATTGACAGGGTCACGAAGCTCCCAAGGGAGGCTGCTGGAATTTTGAACTCAGGACTGAGGTTTCTGTTCAAGGTGGTCCCTTGTTTCACAAAAAGAGTGTTGATTTGTGCCCAAATGGTGCTGGGAATTAGTGTCACCAACCATATCAGTATCATGCCACAGATAAGCTTGGCTTCTTCCACCTTGGTTACGGTCAAGGGTGTACTTGAGGAACTTGGGCAGCCTTCTTTTATTGCAGCCTTGTCCAGGAACCTGAGTACACCAGTTCCATTCAATTCATCCATGGTCAGTATGTTCAAAATAACTATATCTACATTATCTACCTGACACACACCAACACACAAAATAGACCTGTATATATTACGTAGCAGGTCACAGGTCCAATAATCTTGCAAGGCTTCGATCCTTAGCTTGTTTTCCTATTTTAGTAAATGTGGGCCTAACCTATATATCCCAAATGGTGCAAGTGGAAAGTGCTTCTTATTCTTTTAGAGTTGCGTATTCCCGTAATTAAACTGAATGTTGTTGCACCAATATTAATTCAAACAATACAGCTTGTTCACTCAGCTATGTAAGCTATATATAGTGCAGTAGAGTAGTGAGTTTCAGTTCTTTTGTGCCATGTTTTTCATTGTATGTTTTGAGTGCGTGCATGTTTGGCGTGAAAACCCTTTTTGATGATATGAAATGTCGGTTTAGAGACATTATATAATGTGTCAGTGGAGTGCAAGTTGGTTGAAAGATGACACCAGTCATATAGATGGCCTTTTGGACACACGTGTGTGAACTGTGTAAATGGAAGGAATTGATTGATGAGGTGAATGACCCACCATGCCTCCAGAAAAGCCTCACACTTCCATTAGCGGATTTCGTGGCTACGCAAGAAACCAAATCTCGAATCTTTAGGTAGTGGCGGCCGTATCAGGACTTCACCCCAGACGGTGAAGTTACCATGCTTCATTTTGTAAATAAGATTTTTCAATCTTTTTTTATCTTAAGATACGATGAATATATATTTTTTTTTATTCTAACGATTTTTCCTTTTGAATTAGTCGTAGTATGTTGTTGCCAGGAATATATATATATATATATATATATTTGGTTCCTGAGTTTAAACTAACCACAGATATTAATATAAATAAATGCAAGGTCACAGTACAGAAACACACACTCACGCACAGACACACACACGATCCCTTGTTGGCCTGGTGTTATAGATAAGGATGGAGAAGATGCTTTAATGTGCGTTCCAAAATTCACAGTACACTATCCCACTAGGCCACTAGTAGCACGCTCAGCCTCAGCTAAAATAGTCCCCTACCACTTGGAATATATATGTAGAGTAATATATATGAGTCATTATGTACACCACTCGTAAAAAACAAATTAACGCATGCATTATTAATCTGCTTCATATAGAAATATGTTTTGGGCTCAAAGCTGTATGTAATTATATATAGCATCAGTTCACTCCAATTATAACATTATCTCCATAAAATTGTGTCAGCAATAATTAAGACAGATGAAAAGTAAATATTGCTCACCTAAAGAATGGAGTGTGGTAAACTTGGCGTTTTCCAGTGCTAATGTAATGTTGAATCTCATGCTCATGAAGCTGCGAGGGGTCACTAGGGAGCTTGAGTTTTCTGTTCCTGAAGGCAACAACAGGGACTCGAATTATGTCACTGAGAGGATTCTTGGTTGTCGTCCTGGCTTTGTGTCGGTATGTTTGGGTCCCTGCGAAGAAAATCAGTAGGGATAGTAACAGACCAACCGTTGGAATGCCATAGCCTAGGCCCCATCCCAAGTTCTCCTGCACATAGACGAGGCCTATAGTGGCAATCAGAGCTCCTAGGAACGAGGTAAACATCCACCAGTTGAAGAATGAGGCCTTAAGATCTTTCTCACTGGGATTAAAATCATCAAACTGGTCAGCACCGAAGGTTGAAATGTTGGGTTTGGTTCCACCAGCTCCAATTGATATAGTGTAGAGTGCTGAGTAAAAGAATGCAATCTGTGAGCGAGAAGCCTTGTTGCAGATGCTGCTGGTGCAGTTTGGTCTCAAGCTCTTGAGGGAAACAGCTACGGTCAGAAGAGTCATTCCCTGTGATATGATAATAAGCTTGATGAGTTCTATACGTAATGTGTAACCCATGTTTTATGAACTAATTTAACACAATTAGATCGTTCCCTGCCTGATCAACCACCCCATAAATGAAATTATATATCAGTTCATTTTTCAGTAGTTCCAGTTGATAATAACTTTTCATGGTGGGGCTATATTAATGATAAGGGTTTGTCCTGCGCGTGCTAGGACAACTGCCGCATCATTTACATAGCAGAATGAGCATCCGCATTGGCTGGTGGTAGCTAACGTAAAATAAAGTCCAAACAGGTGTGTGTCTTCTTTTGTTTGGAAGATAGTGGTGATTAACATGTAGACGCAATTTAGCAGTAGATTCTAAATCTGGCCAATCATGTATAGGAAGAAGAGTTTCTTGGCTTAATTGGTTAATTGCTAGGTTGGCCAGAGACCATCGTTTATGCTGAAAAGATAATTATAGCAGTTAGATGCATGATAGCTTAATTACCAAGACGTAAATAAGAGATGACAAAGTGAAAGTCCAGAAGCGACCCAAGTAGAAATCTGCTATGTAGGCACCAAAAATCGGTGTTATCCACACAGATCCTGACCAGTTATTCACGTTCCTCACAGATGCAACAGTGTCTTCATGGAGCTGGGTTGTGAGGTAGATGACCAGGTTGGAAGCGACTCCATAGAAAGCCATCCTTTCAAATGCTTCGTAGCCTATGGCAACATATATATCCAAGAAAAAAAGGACAATCCAATAATTGATACGTGATAAAACCAGATATCAACATATTCCGCAAATTTTCACGACCTGGTCGGCGAGTTAAAAATATTACAAGCTAAGTTAGCATGTATATCAGTTCAGACTTGCGATTAATGTGACAGGAAACTAAAGCGAAACATGCGATGGAGTCAGACGACAAAAGAGAAACTTTAAGGCTAGACATAGATTTTTCACAAAACCTTCTCAGTTTGAGAAAAAAATAAAAGGAGAAGAATATGAGTAGAAAGATATACTGACCAACGAGGAAAGCGCAAGCCCTCCATTTGCCTGTCTGAGAGGAAAGGGCAGGACGGCCACGAAAGTCAAGAGTGCCATCTCTGGTATAGTCTGATTCGGGTTCCATTGAAGACATTTCTTCAAAGAAGAAAGTTAAAAGGCAATGGAAGCCAGAGAAGGAGGAAATAATGATAGATTAATGCTCAGGATGTTCGTGTATGTGTGTGTAAAAGCTGTAGAAAGAGTGGAGCAATAATAGAACAAAAAGGTTCGTTCGATAAGATTAGATTATGGAAAAGCGGGCAGCCACAATAGATAAACCACTGAAAGATCGATACTTTAATTTGAATCTTCACCTTAATCATGATTAGGCATAATTAATCACAATACGAATACAATGCTTTAATTCGTTTGTGGGCTTAGTGTCCCACAGGCGGCCAATGGATGTCAAGGGTTTCCCATTGCCAATTTGCACCGACCGTTCTTTCTAACACTGCCTTGTCATCATGATATCATGTCTCCCACTTCTCGTTTCGATCGGCTCCATTTTATTTGTTTTTGGGTTGACTTTATTATGCGAGTAATTAAATGCTTTTAAATATACACGTGTGAATATGTATGATCTGATCAATGTTTTACTTATGATAGAAGTTGACATATTTCTCATCGAGTTTGCTTCTGATAAAGTTTTCAGTGAATCTGATATGACCATATTCACTCGATTATGGTGAATATTTTAAAATTTGTATCAAGTTTTGTTTGAGAGTCTTGTCCTTTAATGAAATAACCATAACACAAAACAAGAAATGATATTATTTTATTGGAAGACTTATAAAAGTTTTTTTTAATTAAAAAAAAGAAGGCAGGCACTTGCATATTATGAGGAAGTCGCATAAACATATAATATATTTAATTGGGTTAGTTTAACTTATATTTCCGACTTTTTTACTGCTGCTTTCTCCTTAGCGACTTTGTAGTTATTCAGTTTTCCGTTGTATTGTATATATTTGTTACTTGATCTTCGTATGAAAAAATAGTTGAACGAATCGGACATCAATCCGGTTATCACATATTCAAAATTTTCAGATAACGCATGTATATGTATATATAGCTTAGTCATTAATTCGCATTTGTCCCACTTATGGCTACGTTATTCACTTTTGCCAAGTGGAAGTGTTGCAAGTTTTTATACAATTATCTACTCTTTAGTATGTGGTTCTTCTTCTTTTTTTAATAAAAAGCTTGAATGAGTTGAATTATCTTATGATTATTTAGGCACCTTAATTATGAATAAACAGGGAAGGCATGCCGCCAAGCAGAAGGTGCTTGAAGCCAAAAACTCATCCACATTCGTTCTGACGTCACAACTCACAAGTGCAATACGTGAATAATAATCACATTTCTTTTTTTGGCAAAATGCATAGTTCTTACTTGAAACACCGACTACCAGCAGTCAAAACAAGGGGAAAAAACTATAAGAAAAAGAACAACAAAGATTATAAATTAAATATATTTATATTAAAGATATTTTCAATCCAAAATTATTTTGAAGACCGGCCAATCATTTGAAAAACTATAAAAATTAAAATGTTTGAGTGAAAAAAGTGGCAGTCCAGAACCTTGAATTATTTTTCATTTTAGAACTTCTCATATGTATACATTTTAAAAATAAATTAAGGCCTTAATATAATTAATAGATAATAGATGTCCTAATAAATAACATGACTGTATATCATGTTTCTCTGCAACCAGTAATGGATGAAAATATCTGGATGTCTTATCCATGAGCATTTAACTCAGCCTCATGGAAAAGTGGTACTTTTAACAAGTGTTTTTGGATTTAAGCTTAAAATATATAATTTATCATATACGTAATGGAAGCTGGGTTTACTTGAATTGGCTAGTCTTTTTACATTATTTTTTTTTCTAATGTCCTTCTGCAACGTTCCACTTTCCCAATTTTATTCTTTTGATTACTAACTTCTACAAAAATCAAGAGACATTGATTCTAGTATATTGTAGTCTACAAACGTTGTAGTTATATATTTGTGATGATTTTTTTTTTGGAAAAAAATAAAATAGTGTAGTGCAAAATTGTACTGTTTTGTTGCATAAGAGTAAGGGCACATAAGATCGAAGAATAGCTTTCAGTGGAAAACCGAAAGAGACAAGAAATGAAGCGACAACTAGTTCAGTGTCTGGATGAGAGAATGAGACGAAAATTAATTTGGCCATCTATGATTCTATTGGTGACGAGTTGTAGCTTGACACTGAGATAACTGTTGGAGATCACTTTCACAATTGGCAAGCTACTGAAATAGTTAAAACCCTCGTTAACAAGTCACTCGTTCCTTGACAAAGAATGATCGAGATAGTTAACTGGAGTTAATTACTATTTAGTTTGGTGTGAAGTCATTTGAAACTGAGTGATATGGACACTATTGCTCTCTCTCTTAATAAGGAATTGGCATTTTGGTAGGAAATTAACCACTCAAATCATGTGACGCGAGGCTCTGTGTTTTCCTTTTCCTTGCTTTTGTGGGACTCATTATATGGACACTTATGCTCATTTCTTCTCTTCTCTTAATTGGTTCCCAAATCATTATCCTTTTTTTAATTGTTATTTCCACAAACGATAATCATCGTTATCTCTTAAAAGGACTTGATATGTATGTTTTGTATTGTGTTGCTAATATGGGTTAGAATGAGACATATGGAATATCATTGGCAATCTCACCCACAACTTGCAGGGTATTGCGATTATTAGGGCGAGAAAAAGTCAATATTACAAAAAATATCCATGTATACAAACAAATCTCAATTAAATTATTTTTTTAATGAACTTAAACTATTTCTAATTAAATTAAATAAAAATGGTTAAAGCAGGCAACTAGAATTATGGGTGGGAATATGGGATGTCAATTTTTTTTTATATTATTTTTTGCTATTACAAGCTTCTTCTTATGAGAGACAATTCTCCTTAAAATGGAATCAAGTATTCAGTGTGGACATTTCCTTCAATAGAGATTCAAATTTTAATTTCCTATGTTATGAGGAATTAGATCTTTTTGTTAGATCTGACCTTCATTGATACAATGAGCCGTCAAATTATTAGTTAGTTCGTCCACAAATTGTAAAAAGCTATCTGTTTGCCTATTTTATGGTTTTCTCATATTTTTTTTAAATTTATTTTATAAACTAATTTTTAATTTTCTAAAAAATAATTTGATTATATTAAATTAAAATTAATTTTAGAGTTAAAAAATGATTGATGACATTATTAGTCATAGTTAAAGGTAATTAATTTATATACTTAGCTTTATATAATTAAATTACTTATTTTTAATTAAATTAAAATATGTATTTATTTTATGAATTATTTATTCTATAATAAAATATTCTTATTAATATTATAAACACATTAAAATTCCTATATCTTAATTTGATTGGATAAAAATATATTAGATATATAATGTTAAGTATATAAATTTTGTCTTTTTAAAAAAATTGAGACTGAGCTTGAAAATATTCAAATTTAAAAGTTAAAACACTTACCCAGACAATTTTTTTAATTTTTTCATTTTAAAAACAGAAAATAATTTTTGAAAATAAAAAATAACCATGGCCATGTGTTTTGGTTGGCAGGCAGGGAAGGAAGAAGAAAGAGGATATTATCATAGCGTTTGACGTGGAAAGAAAAAAGAGGAGGAAATTGGTCAAACCAAAGTTGTGGTCAGTGGACCACTTTTATAGGCTTACACTCAGTCAACTCCTTTTCTCCTACTCATCAATTAATCTTTAATTTTCTCTCTCGCACGCACACACGCACGCCTACCTAAATCCCTAGCTGGATTAACATTAATAAAAAAAAAACCATAAATTTCATCATATTCAAATAACAGTAATCAAAATTATAATATTACTTTCAAATTTAAATTTCTCACTTATTTTAGATTTGTTTAATTGACTCTAAGAGGAGCACAAAGGACCCAATTCATTAATTCCACCTTCCCCATCTTCCCTATCCGCTGCTGCGTTTTAGGAGGGTCTGCATCATCAAGAAAATCTATATATATATATATATATATATAACAAGGATTTAATTGAGATGCTTGGATATTAATCTCTCACACATGTTTGGCTTCCAACCTCAACCAGTTCTTTTTTCTTAGTGACGTGGAGAGTAGTTTCTAGAAAGAAAAAAAGCCAATTCTTAATAGAGCGCACATCCACCCAGCACCATGACAATATTAATATTTTTTAACATTCAAAAACATAATATTAATTACATCCTAAAACATTAAAAATAATTTGTGTGTGGGTGAATACATGTTATTTATAATTAGAGTTGAGAATAGAGGTTAAGCCCATCTAACCAACCCATTATAGATGAGTCACGGGCTTCATCTTTTCCATATTTCACTTCAATGTACCTCATCTGTATTGTGGATTAATCATATCATGCAAGATCAACCATATGATTAAAATGGTAGCAAAGTGTTCCATTTCATTGGGTGGATATGCATCGTTGTAACTGATTTAATATGTTTGTTTTATATTCAGCCGAACGTAAGAAAGTCAGGAGGAAGCTTTACATTTTAGAAAATATTTTTCAATCTTATGAAGATAGTAGATGTTCTTCTTGATAATGACAACTTTCTATCCTAATTGTCTGCTACGAGAATGTCTTGCTTTATGGTGTTGCTGATACTGATGTCTTGTGCTCAGCTTTGTTGGGAGAATAAACAAAAGGAATTATTATATTCAGAGCGGAGTAAGTTTTGATAGGTGAAAAATTATGGATGGATAGAGTGTTTGGAAGTGGATATAAATTAATCCACTCTTGAAATTTGAATAGCTGTACCTTGACACCTTCCCCACTACGACCGTAGATTTGAATGTCTGGCGGGTCAATAGACACGATATTCAGTTTGTTATCACAGCTTATGAATCAAGCAATCGTATTTAGATTTTTGCTCCCATTCTTTTCTTGGTCACTGAGAATATATGCTGGTAAAATTAGTACCGGTAATTCTTTTTTTTTTATAAATAAAAATTTAAATGAGTTAAATTCTGAAAACTCATAAGAGTCAGAACATACTTTTAGGCTCAACGCTAATATATGAAAATTTAGTTGGCGGGCAATGTCTAGCAATTTTTATATTTTTTCTGTGGTTACAATTTTTTATCACAGAAAGCCTATAGTGTTCATAGACCAGCATAAAAGTCAATATGTAATGTGTTGGATTTCACATGAACACAGGCCCATATAAAAAATGGGCTTTCAATTCGCCCTTTTTTCACCGTACCAGATGGAACAGGAGATTAACGGAGATCATCTAACCAACATGGAGGAGTGAATAGGTATTTATGTCAAAATAGGTATGCAACTCACAAGATCATGGGTTTCAAACCTGCAACTAATTTGATAATTTAGTTGATGAATAATTTGTAAATACCTCTGCAAATGTTCTGTAAACCTGAAAACATATGTTAATTTTAGAGTTCTGGTGAACTCGGAAAACCCAACTTACATAAATTTTCATGTTAAAAAAATATATGTAATCTAATTAATCTCTTGCATGCTCAAAATTTTTCACCTTCATTTTGCTTGTTTTTCATATCAAAAAACGAAGCACAAGAAATTGTCGAGGAAAGATGTGGGCAGGCTTCAATAATAGAAAAGCAATGGCTTTATCAAGAAAAAGAAAAGCAATGGGCTGTTCAGCAGTTGAAAATAAAAGAGAATCAATAATACAACAAAAGGTCAGGGTAAGCTTCATCGGTTGAAATTTGAACAAAGGAATGCATGAATTTACAGTTTTGTTCCTATAGTGAACTCACACACGAGCGAGACATATAAAGTGACATGAAAAAATCTCAGTTTAACTATATAATAAATGAAAAACACAATTATTGATCCTTAAATTTTAAATGATTTTACTTTTAGCCTTTATATATTTTTTTTAGTATTTTCGGTCTCTATACAGAGACTCAAGCAACAATACCACTTAATCTTATTGAAATTATAAAAACTCAAAATATTAAAAAAATTATGGGGAGTAAAAGTAAAATTTGATAAAATTATAGGAACTAATAATCACTTTCTCTGTTAAAAAATGTAAAGTATTTTTAAATGAATCTCACTCCAATAAAGTAATTACTTATTTTTTAATTAACTTTATCTTTTTATATTTATCCCAATTAAATACTTTATAATAAATATAAAATCATTATCAATAGGATTTTTTTAAAAAAAAATAATTACACCTCGAAAGAATAAAAATGTTTTATATATTTATCATCCAACCCCTAAAAAAATATCTTATATTTTTAAATAGAGAGAGAGTAAATTTTTCCTCTGATAACAAATCTAATGCAGGCCACTTAGCATCACGGCTTTGGTTTAGCATGACTGGCTTCTAGTGGTTCATTGCAGCGGGGTATCATTGAATCAAATTTTATTATTCAAATTTCATCAATTTATAAAAGTATATATAAGCTAACTTGTGAGTTAAAATTTGACATAGCTAAATAATTCAAAATTGCAGTGATTGCGTGATTGAGACGGTAAAGTTGGGAATTTACAATCTGTGGGCCATTATTGACAGTAAAGTTGCTATCAAAAGACTTTTGAGACGATTTTATAACACTACGAATTTGGCCGCACACAGCTTGCCACCGGTTTGCTGTGTGATATCAGGCATGTGCGGCTTTTGAAAAGCCGAAGACACGTGTTAAACTGCATCCATCACACATGTCATAAAAAATGCTGCCCACCGCTTCTTTTAATCCAAGGATTGCATCTTTCTATTAAATCATGTCATCACAATATCATCCTTCATCGTATGATTAATCAAACAAGTTTGGATGGCATGTGATGTGACGACCACTCTCAATCCAAAAGCAGATGGCCAATTAAGACGTGGGAAGACAGAAGTTTTGTTATTAATGAATTTTGGGGTCAAGGACGACCATTGAGAAGTGAGAAACTGAGAATCATGTATAAATCCATTGTCTCACAACTGAACCTGCCTGAATATGTCAGCGAAGAAAGACCAAGAGGCCATCAAAAGCAAATGCGTACATGAACTGGTCTGAACTTGACGCACTTTCCCACTCACAATTAAAAAAAAAAAAAAAAAAACCAGCCAAAGTGAAGCCTCTGGTTTTGGGGCTTTCAGTGTTCCCTCCGTCTGTAACAGTCTGAAACGAGGGGCCATGCCTCTGCTTCAAAATTTAACAATTCAACACTGGCTCTGTTCTATAAGTAACCATCCTTCCCCTCACTTCAACACTTAATCAAACTCCCTCACATCGCCTTTCTTTGTCAATTCCTCAAACATCTTCCGGTCATTAACACCCAACCCAAAATGTCACTTCATTCCTGGGTTTCAGAACACAAGCTCGCTTCCATCGGTATGTTTTATCATATTCTCATCCCAATTTTTCAATTTTCATGATGCATGCTCATGGGGTGTTGATTGGAATTGCAGGGGCAGTATGGGCGACAGGAATAGGTGCATCCTTCCTGGCTAATTCACGCAAAGCCTCTGCCATGAAACCCAGTCTGAGACTCATTCACGCCAGGTATAATATATCCATAAGGATGTGGCCATGTGGCTTTCATGCTCTGTTTAAGTGTTAACTCATAACTTTGATGAAATTAATTGGGGTCGTTTGGGTTTATGATGAAGGATGCATGCTCAGGCGTTAACACTGGCGGTGCTGTCTGGTGCTGCTGCTTATCACTACTTTGAGAAGCGTCGTCTTTCTGATTCTGAGGCCCCCAAACCACAGGTGGACACTGCCCATGCTGATATAAGAAGGCTTGTTGAATGGGAGCTCCTATCTCCTTTCTAATTCACTGGCCGCCTGATACAAGATTATTGTCTAAGTAGTTTCCCAACTGATTTATTATCGTTGTTGCCTTTTATCTTGTAATAAAGTTATCAGTCTCTTTGGAGTTTGGATATGTTGTGAGAACCCACTTTTTAATGTAGATACAATCTTCTCACAAGTTTCTGCTTCTCTCTTCTTCACGCTTCAACCACATAATCATCTCAACGAACCTGATTTCAGATCGTTATGATTGGATTTGGCAAATGTATTTGGCTTTACATGCTCACACAAAATATCACATACAATACAAAATCTATAAAGTATTATACTATTCATAAGAGTTATAAATAATATGCATATTCAATTTTATGCAAAGGAAGGTTGTTAATCTAATTACATAGGAATATGGGGAGATACTTTTTGCAATATAAAAGATAAAAGCAAGTTTCAATCAATAATTAGTAAAATAAATGACTCAGATTGTCTTAATTTTTTGGCCACAAATTTTATTTGAAATTCTAAGTAGTGGTTGAAATCAGGAAAGTCCTATTATTTATTTGTGAGTGGATTTAATGATTTATGTTTTTGACTGCAATTAAAATTACATATATGCAACTGTGATTTAAATTCTAATAATTATCAGTTGGATTTTTGAAAACAAATAATTATATTAATCAAGACATCAATATTTGAAAGAAGATAAGGATCAAGCCAATGGATAACGATTGTCCATTTTTCCGCTACTTTTTTTTTCCTTTCTTTTTTTTTCTGGCTAAACGATTTTGCATTAGCTGGTTCAACTCTACTCAATGGACAATGGGGGATGATTATTACAGGTATTAAAATATTATTAATCCATGCATGCTATCATTTTTGAAAAAGTCCAAGAAAGTGTGAAATAGAATAAGAAGCGGGTTTGGTTGATCTAATCTAATCATTCTCCCAAATGAGCATTAACTATTCCAGGTTGGCCTTTCCAAAGACCACTTGTGATGTGAATACTGAATGCATAAATAAGTCTTAATCAATGCTTTATTATTGGAACCCAAAATTATTAACAAATGGACACGGAAGTTGTTAAAGGAGCATATAAACATATTTATAAGGGTTGGCCTGCAAATTTGTGCTGTGAAAAGTGGTTGCAAAGTCTTGTTCCAAACTGTCTGATTCCTTCTTCTATATATTCCTCTTTTCTTTCTTAACAACTTTTCTCTATCACTCTAAAAAGATGCACTACCAAACTTCTTAACTGCTTTCTCATTTTCTCATGCCCCAGCATGCCCTCTCCCTCACCATCTCGGCTTAAGAAATTGAAAGAGAGGGATAGCTTGGACATTTCAGATTACTTGCAAACTAATATATTCAGACAATAATCATGATTGTGTGTTACATGTAAAAGGATAATGAGTTGGGAATTCCCAAGTTCCCAACAGACACAATAATGGAACTATATATATTGTTGTTTACATACAGAGGCAGAACTGGAACTTCCATTTCTTCAGGTTTTAAGAAACAATAGGGAAAGAGGAAGAGAAGTGATCAGAGATGGATTGCTCTGTTTGCACAACAATGCCATTGATATTAAGGCCACCCAGGAATACCATATGTGGGGCTTGCTATGAAGGAGCCAGAAGCATTCTCAATATGATGAACAAGATTGAATCTGATAAAACCATGGACAGTCCTAATGCTTCTCCTGCTTCACCCTCCCATAATTCGTGTAAGGCAAGCTCTTCTCATCGCGCCTTGTATTTTGCTCACAACTAAGTTTATCGCTTTCAGTTGTTCAGTTTTACGTCATGATGATGTTTCCACAAACCTTGTTATCATTGAATACTGTCATACGATTTCTGCAATGATTCCAATCATTTATGAAACCAAACTGAGATTATTATCTTCGGTGCGCAGTCACTTTCGACATTTAAAAGATGGTACGCACAGCAGTTAGATCAGATGAATGAACATAAACATCAAGCAGCCTTCCTTGAAAGTTTTGTTGATGCATTCAGAGCACAAATCCACACTGATATAACGGTCACTCCTGGCAATCATGGGTCTCCGATACCTTCCCATAAAGCCGTTTTGGTGAGTGCGCACGCGCTCGCATGTTTAGGTTCATGATCGCGTCAGTAACTGTATTTTGCATTTCATGATGTTATAGGCGACAAGGTCAGAGGTTTTCAAGAACATGTTGGACTCAGATGAATGTAAAGCTGCACCTACTAACAACATTACAATACCCGAATTGAACTGTGAAGAGCTAGAGAGTCTTCTGGAGTTTCTTTACAGAGGGAGCTTGGGTCCAGAAAAATTGGAGCAGCATGTATTTGCCTTGTCACTCGCAGCTGATAAATATGGGATCGCTTATTTACAGAAGCAATGCGAGCAGTACATGCTGAATTCACTAAGCATCTCTAATGCGCTTGATGTGTTGGAGATTGCAGACACTTGTTCCAACCAGAAGTTGAAGGACACCACTATGAAGTTCTTAGTTGAAAACATTCAGGAGATAGTTTTGTCCTTGCAATATGAAGCATTTGTGCACAGAAGCCCTCATCTAACCGTGCAACTTTCCAGGGAATCGTTGAAGGTTGCCAATAATATCAAATGATGATCGTCTAAGTTCATCACACTTCCATCATAATTCGTTTGTTGTGTCTTTTTTCTTTTTTGAAAAAAATCTTGTTCAATCAACAAGAACTGTATGGAAGGGTTCTTACTGCTTTGGATAATGTTTACCCCTTCACTGAAAAATGCCCAAGCTATGTGAATAAAATGAAGGTATGTTGCTTTCTGTACTATACTCAAGATTATAATTTTAAATTAAAGATTACAATATTTTAGATGGTGTTGGAGATTATTTCTGTTGTGTGGCATAAAATAAAGGCATATTGCTTATGGCACCCACTCAGTGAGGTCCACTGATAATTGAAGAAGCAATGAGTCAATCTCGGATCCATCTAGAAGAACATTATGATAAAATGTTTGCCGCATCTTTATACAAATAATTCTGTCCAGAGCAACGGTATCATTCCCTATCCATACATAGCAAAACCACGAGGCTACCCTGAATGGTGGCCTAAGGCATACATGTAAATTACAACAGAAACGCTAGATTCATTCTATTTAGCCTTAAGAAATCAAAATACCTAAAACAACAAAGTGAAGATGTAAAGTTGGAGGAACACGGGCAAATTTTGTCAAAGGGGCATTGTGCATTTCTTTTGAGAATGTCCTAACATATGGCAACGACCACACTGAACAACTCTTTTGGGACGTTTAAAGTTCTCCACCCTAAGGACCTTCTTTTTAGGCCTCCCAGGCGGTCTACGAGTTTTTGGTGGACGTATTATGATGTCCACCTTGGCAGCTCCACCTTCTGCTCCTTCTCCGAGTTCTCTCCACTGACTCTTGTCTGGAATAGGATTTATCATCTGTGAATAGGTGACTCTGTAACTTTTTACTGTGAAGCAAGGTTCGGCAAAATGATGAGCATTGTGCCCACAAGAAATAAGTGCTGCAGCAGCATGTGCACACGGTAAACCATACAGCTGCCAACGGCGACAAGAACACACTCGACTTCTTATATCCACAATATTCGTCCTTTCTGTGGACACAATCTCAAACTCGACTTCATTAGCTCGGAGCACTTGATAGCAGTGAGCATCAGCGATTGCTTCCAAAATTCGCTTCTCAGCAGATGGTACAAGCATTGATGTCCACCTCATGCCCATATCCTGGCGTTCATTAAACCAAGATGTGATCTGCTGGCGAATGTGTTCCATCATCTGCACTATAGGGAGCTCATGACAGTCAAGGGCCCAGTTATACACCAATTCTGTCACTCCCAGTGTGAAATGCCCAAATCGCACACCCTCAAAGTATGCCACAGCCCAAAGTTGGGGAGGAAAATGTTGGAACCATTGTATAACCTCCTGTGAAATTTCTATCATCTCAGTAATCTTGCTCTCGAATTCAGCAGCCGTAAGGGCATAAACGGCATTCCAAAAGATGTTCAGCAATTTTGTGTTTTTGAATGTGTCACGGAAATTTTCACTTACATAGCGCAGACAAAAACCATGAAAAGCACTTGGAAAGTGTGTTTCTACTGCATCTACAATGCCCTTCTGCCTTTCAGATAGTATTGTAAGTCTAGGCATGTTATCAGTATTCACTCCTAGAAGCTTTCGCAGTTCTGACATGAACCACATCCAATTTTCATCACTTTCAACATCAACAACAGCTATTGCCAAAGGGAACAAAGCATCATCAGCATCAACAGCTGCAGCGCAAAGTAATGTACCCAAGTATTTTCCTTTGAGATGTGCTCTGTCTAGCTCCAAAAGTGGCCTACAAGCATTTATAAACCCATAAATTGAGGCACGGTAAGAAATAAAGAGGCGTTGGAAACAATTTTCTTGTCCAGTGGCAACAACTGATGCAATGCTACCAGGATTTGTTTTCCTTATTTGCTCACAGTATGCAGGAAGAAGTCGGTAGCCTTCTTCAAATGTTCCATGAAGGGCAGCCATGCCTCGCTCCTTCCCACGCCAAGCTTGCATGTAAGAAACAGCAACTCCATGCTGATCACGAATATCTTGAAGGATTTCCCTTGGTTTATATTGAGGATTATCCCGAATTCGAGCCTCAACAGATCTAGCAACCCAACCCACTGATGCTTGCTGATGATGAAGGTTGTGAACTCCCTCACATGTATGCTCTCCATGTAGCGTTCTCACAGTAAAAGTTGGCCCACCTGGACATTTTGCCACATGGACACGCCATGGGCACCCTTCTTTAGAGCATTTTGCTATAAATCGACTGCGATCAGATTTAACAATACGAAGATCAAAATGCATAGCAATAGCAACATCTTTCATTGTTCTTCTGCATGTTTCGACATCTGGAAACTCTTGCCCAATGACTAATGGATGAACTCCTAAATCAAGAGGCGTGTCATTAAAAACTAAAGAATGATTAGCCATATATCCACCAAACTAGAAAAGAGCAATGTCACGTGGCTTTAAGGGTCCCCATCGTGCTTTTGAATTATTAGAGGCTCCCAGGAGTATGCATCAAAAACTATCACCATATTGATCTTCCTGCCTAGTACAGACTCTGCAGAACATGAGAGGGGGAAAAATTGAAACTTTACAGATAGTAACAACAGGACAAGATTTCAAAGGACCCATCAGGACACATAGGAATCAAATCAACATTATAGCTTAAAACTTATTTTATAGATATATACCTCTGAATTGAAAGTCTTCTTAGAGGAATAAAATTCCAATTTCCAAGTATCACATAAGAAACCAAAGAAACATGATTTTTACTAAGAAATTCATAAGCAATGGAAACCTGCTTGTCCTAAAAGAATATCTTCAAAGAGACACTCTAAATGATAAATGTTAGTTAATGGTCAGGGGAAAAAACTGATGAATTTTACTTAGTAGTGGGCAATTGGAAAAACACCTGCTTGACCTAAAAGAATATAAGTAGGAAAGGCAAACGGCGGTTATCCGCTAATTTTTTTTCCACTATTCGTATCCACTGCCATCCATAACACCCAAAACACCTAAGCTATCTGAATCCGAAGAAAAACAATCAAACACTTCTATCAGCTGCATCCAAAACTATCCGATATACGAAATACCCCATATATTCAAAATAACTGAAAAATAAAACGCTTTTGCCATGAAATTTTATTCACGGCAAGTCAACAGATCTGATTGTTTTCTATTTCTCTGTCCTGCATTGCCAACTCTCTATTATTATTCATTTAAAGGAAGAAAATCAAATTCAGTCACAAGTCAACTACCCCAGTTCTTAGTTTCACATGGATACTAACTGGAGACTGCAAAGCCATGAATAGGATCAGCCAGCCGATTGAAATGAATACTACCGCATCAAAAGTCATTACTAGTACCTGAGACGAGTAATAGTTCATAAAATCTCAGCATCCACAGGGCTATACAAATAAGGAGAGAAAGATTGAAACCTCATGCGGCGCTCAGACCGACAGTGGGTCGTCCATTGGTGAAGGCAGGACGCAACGCAAAAGGAATTGGGGCAAAGGGGGTCGAACCCTGGAGCTGCGATGTGAAATGAAATCGAAATAGGAAAAAGAAAGTGCTCAGATCGACGGCGTCCTCTGACTAGACCTCCGTCGCTCACCGGGACGGCAACCGCCTTTGCTTAGATCGACGGCTGTCTTCTACGGACAAAGGCAGGGTGTGCATAGAGCAATGGAAAGTTGGGGCAGCGGCGATCCATATCCAAGGAAATAAGATTACGAAATAGATAGTATTTTTTTGGTATTTTTATTTATTTATATGATTTATACTTTTTTTATATGATTGATACTTATGATTATGATGCATTGAACGACTCAAAATTTTAGATTTTTTGCCAATTAAATATTTGAGGAAATAAAACATGTCTATATGAATTTAAATGTCTAGTTCCTTTCTTTTTTTTTTTTTACTCGCCCATTAATATCAAATCATACAGAATATCTGATCTGATAATTAAATGAGGATCCCACCTTGGATAACAATTTTTACCGCCCACTTTTTATTTATTTTCGATCTTCAACTCACCTTTCTATTTGATGCATAATGAAGATTGAATTTTTTTTGGGACCTGGATGGAATAATCTTTTACTTATACTCATAGGATAGAATATATAAAGTGATCACATTTATAGTATAATTTTTACTATTTAACAAAAATGTTTTGATTAAATTTCGAATATTTAATTGGTTTAATAACAATCGGACTTTATAAATATTAAAAAGTAATAATGAAGATATCATTATAAAAATTAAACAAAATCTTATTCTTGGTAGGCGTGTGTGAGATCTAATTATCCCGACATGGGAGGGATATAAACTCAAGTTATTAAATAAAGAACATTCATGAGTCGCCTCTAAAACATCCAGCGTTCAAGTATGCGAAACATGCCAAGTTTGTCACTCACTCTGAATGGTAACATTAAGGACGCCTTTGGTCATTAAAACAAACAAATGCTAAGGAAAATGCAAAGGATTGAATTGCATATATGGAATCTTACAATTTTAGTTGTGTTCCGGGGGATTTGAATTCTTCGGGCAGCCTAGATTTTTATAAGTTTTCATATTAAAAATTGATTGGTTGATATACCAGTTGCAAATTCCCACATTTCAATGCTTTGTGATGATAGGTAACTATAAAGGTTTTAACAGAACAAAATCACACGAGTTCATCACAAAAAAATTAAATATCACAATATCCATCGATAATTTAACAAACCACAATGTCACTTTGCTCTGCCAAATTTTATTTTATTTTGTGGTCGAGGGCTTCAAAATAATTGGCTCATTATAAAATCCTGCATCTAAATGACTTAGGCTTGGCTGGATGGAAGGAAAATTGAAAGAAAAATAAAAAAAGTACATTATTAAAAGAAAAAACCTTTAAAAATTATTTAAAAGAAACACTATTTTTGAAAGTTTTTGTTTTTCTATCAATCCAACCGATTATTTGTTGTTCTCTCTATTAAAAAATGTTTTTGAAAGGTTGAATATTAAAAAATATAATGTATTTTTAACTTTTTAATATATAATTATTATATTATTTTTTATAAAAATGTCCCTATTAAATAAATTATTTTATATTATTTTAAGGTGAAAGATCCTATTAAATAAGAGTAAATATAAAAAATAAAATTAATTTAAAAATAAATAACTATTTTATTAAAAGATAAAATTTGATTAAAAATATTTTTTGTTTTTGAATGGAAAGAATAAAATTTTTTGAATCTTTGTTAGTTTCAACAACCAACAAAGTCCTCCAAACAAATTCCCAAGTTTCATTATTGTGACATGATCAACTCGACATATCTTCTTCATTAATCTCATTAATTAATGTAGTTGTCTAGGAAATTATATATCTCGTACCAGACCGTCACATGTAGCACGCCATGAGGGTTGAATAAAAAGATGAATCTGCAAAGGCTATGGCAGCATCAATATTTTAGTATTTAGTAATTGGTTACAAAAGCTCATCAAAGATTAGAATACTCTCTCTATCTCAAATTATAGGATATTTAAAAAAAAATTTGTTCAAAAATATAATACACGTTGAGTAGATTAAAATTTTATTAAATGCACCCATTTCTATATTTCTCTTTCTCTTTTTATAATTATTTTTCATCATTTTTATTTTTAATGTATTAAATTATAGGTATTTTTAAAATTTTATATTTTTATTTTAAAAAGATAAGATTGTTAAGTATATTTAATAAGGTTTATTAATATGTAAAATTTATTTAAAAGTATCTTATAATTTGATGTGAAGAAATTATTTTTTATAGCTAGAAAAATGCTTGCAAAAATATTTAAAAATATACTCCTTCCATTTAAAAATATAAAATATTTTTAATCGAATGTCACCCTCTAATAAAGTAGTTATTTATTTTTAAACTAATTTTATTTTTTTATATTTATCCCTATTAAACATCTGATAATAAATATAAAGTCACTATCAATAAGAATAGTTTTGAAAAAAAAAAGACAATGATTATATCTTGAAAGATTAAAAATATTTTACATTTTTAACATCTAACTCTTTAAAAAATATCTTATATTTTCAAACGGAGAGAGTATATAACAATATTTCATATGATTTAAACTAATACCTTCATGATATATTCGTTTCCGGTTCTAATTGTAAGCGTAATTAGTTGAAGAGTTTATTTTGATCATAAATGTAATTTTTCAATTTATTTATCTCCCACATTTATTATCTTTCCCTAGAATAACTTTTTTTTTCCTGATCAACCAAGACTACATTTATTTGATTGCATACATATACTAATGCGTGCAATCAATAAGGTAATAACTTTGGCAAGATTAATATTTATAATTCTACTAATAATAACAGTAATAATTATAATTATTGTGCTGATTGCATTTTTACTCCCTTCGCTCAAAATTATATAAGGTACTTTTAGTTAACTTAGCTTTCACCTGAAAAACAATTAACATAATAAAAATTATATATTATTTTCATGTTTACTCTTTAATGAGGTAACTTTTTTCGCCATATATTTAATTGGGCAACTTAATATATAAATATAAAAATCTCATTAATTCCACATATTATTAAGAATATTTTTTAAAAAATTATTAATTACTTTAAAAAATAATAAAATATTTTATATTTTTAAACATGAATTTTTTTCGATCAAAAAGTATCTTGTAATTTTTTCAATGAAGGAGTATACACTTTTCAACTTTGATTTGCAGAAATAATTTGCCCTTTCCACTAAACTTAATTCCCTGAGTTTTAACGATTTATTACTTTATTAGCCTGTTGAATATTAATTGAATCCAACTTATTAGATACACATAGATGGATCTGCACAAATTGTCCTCCAGTTAAAATTGTCAGTGATTTGGCAGGCGATTCCGTGAACCACCACGTACGAGAAGAAAATGAGGGGAAAGAAGTGGAAGACGCATAATTTTTATATCTAATAACGGTTATAATTCTACAATCGCACAAGGAATAATTAATTAAATTTGTAATATATAATGCTTAATGCACCAGTTTAATTAGTAATTAACGATTTGTTCTCCTATTCCACAACAATTAATTATTTATCCATATATTATGCTCGCGGCTAAGTCAAGTTGACCGCTCAAAGTGTTGGCAATTGCACCAAGCAAGTGTTTGATCATGGACCAACACATTTGGAGAGAAGTTCAGTGCATTAAGAGAAAGCAATGCTATATATATCACCAGAAAAAGACAAAAACAACCCTAATTGCTATAGCATCAGTGCATTTAAGCACCAGAGAGAAAATAGCACACTACCGGTCTTCAATATCATTGCTACTGTTGACTCGTACTCTCTCTCCAATTCTCAATGGCTCTTCCCACAGCTTGCGTCACTGCTTCTGCATCCATGCTGTCACCTTCTTCTTCTTCCTACAAACCATTCCACCATATCTGTGTAATAATGAAGCATGCGCACACTCAAACAAATATATATATATAATACATATATATCAATCAATTGCTATATAATGTGAATCTTACTTCTCCTCCTACAGCCTGAAATCTGAAAGTGTCTGAACATGAAACCCTAGCTTCCTTCACATCGAGACCCATCTCTTCGAAGGCCTCCAATATGGGAACTAGAAGACCTGGGCAGCTCTTGGCTGAATAAACATTTATAAGGAATCCCTTCTCTAGGGTTTCTACTGTAACCTGCACAAATTAATCCGTTCACATTATACAATTAGTAGTACATTACTAATCACATTTTGGATTAGTTTATTATTGTGACTAGGGAAGTTAAATAGAAACAAAAAGATATGGAAAACTTATAAATTCAAGAAAATACCATAGGCATATGATTTTGGTTTTTTGAAGTAGTCTCTGCAGTGGCTATGTCTTGATTCAGTTTTTCTACCTTTTGCTTTAACTCTTCGATGTACTTTGTAGCGTCCAATATGATCGAGGTTTTGTCTAGCTGTCAATTACCACAAAAAATAAATATATTAGTAATCCAAGAACACAAAAAGTAAGAACCAAATTTAAAATATGTCGATTGCAGATTATTGGAACGCATAAAGTTTGCGAGATAAAGGAGAGATATATGTCTAGGGCGGACTCATGAACTGCTTTTTTTTCCAACTGTCAAATTCCATTACATTTTGGTTCATCATTACACATATAAACTGATTAATTAGTTTGATAATATTAATTTTACCTAGATATATATGGGATTATAATATCGAGAAAAACAACATATCGAAGACCCAGAAAGCAATTGCCAAAGATTCGGGGATCAAAATGAATAAAACATAATCAATGTGTGAGAGTGTGTGGGAATTAGCATGAATTGAAGGATGATTTAGATAATTAAACCATTACGTAATCCATGTTTCCATTGACAAAAGAAGAATCAAAATAGGAAGAGGAACGAGAGAGAGGTAAATCTTTTCAGCAGATAGTCTGGCTTCCTTGATAACATTCAAGTGGAAATTCAATATGGAAAGATAATATAAAGAGGGATCGAATTACAGCATGAGAGTTAGTAATAGAACGAAGAAGCTGCAACTTCTGGTGCAGAGCTGCTCTCTTGGGCTCCTTAGAAGCCATGTTGGCTTCTCTCTTACTCTCTCCTTTCTGAAGCTCCAGGCTTTCCCTTCTCTCTGATGCTTTTCTAATTTTCCTATCAACTCTCCTGATAGCTCTGAGTTATAAAAGAGGAGGGGATGAGCTCTCATGTCCATGTGATTTCCTTTTTAATTTCGTCTTCCCCATGACTTCTACAGTTTCTTCACAAGACCAACTACAACATGGAACTGCCTGTACTTACAAGAATACCCCTCCTCCTATTTGTTTTTATCATATTTTTCTTCTATGCGCATTCTTAATATATTGGCCATATGCTTAAATGCAATATATGTAATTCATGAGTTAAGCTCTTAGAAATTATTGAATTTTATAAACCATTCATTTGCAAAGTCTACCATGCATATTGGATTGAATTAAAAGTTTTAATTTCATTTAATATATAGCCCATCAATTGTTTTCATTTAGCCCGCGTGGATGGATAAAATATCTTTAAAAAAGCTACTCTCAGTTAAGACCAACAAAACTCGAATGTAATATTAAAAGTTAATAATGACAGAGGTTAAAAGGTATGAAATAATCTTGTACTGTTTACTTATAACTAGAACTAGTGTTTTAGAACGATGGAAAGGTCATGAGGACACACACACAAACAACAACGATATAAAGGGAAAATGGAAGAGGGAAATTATTTTGAAGCAACAAGATTTTGAAAAAGGACGAAATTAAAATTGAGGGAGAGGAATGATGAGCTCGTGATATGGTGAAAATAGGCCATCGAAAGAAGTGAATGAGAAGCAAAATTTAAATATTGATTGGTTGTGACCTTGGAATGCCTCCAAACACACCTCACGGGGCCTTTTCTTCACTCTCTCTCTCTCTCTCTCTCCACACGTGCCATTCTTCCCTTTCCATCGAAAAAGACACTGCTATCTCTACTTGATTTTCTCTCTTCTAATTTCATTTCCCTCTTCAGTCTCCATTTTAAATTGCTCTATATCCACCCACATCACTTTTCTTAACAGATCTCATCAGTTCCCTTTACTCATATCTAATTATCTTAGTTATTTGCCAATTATGTCCAAAGCTTCAGATGTAAACGTAGGTTCCCATGCACAGAATCTGAATAGGATTTTCCCGTGAAGACATGGTCCATGAATTCAGCAGCATGAATCAAATTCAAAATAAACTAAATCACTGAGTCACTGCCTGCTTTCTTACTCATTAATAATAGTAGTGCCAATGATTGGGGAAAAACCCATCATGCATCATGCATGCACGCATGATCGATGTTCAACAGTTCTTCTGTGAATTGCTTAATCGATTACAGCAGGGCAAATGCCTGAATGATTTGTGAAAGAATCACTACGTGACTGTCGGAGGACAGGTCATCATCAATAGTTTGTTTTGTGAATTTCTTCCTATTAACTTAACAAGCTTCATTACCCCAACTGCAATTAGTCTGAAACAGACTGAAACGGACAACAAAAAAAAAAAAAAAACTGATACACGAGAGTTACAGGAATGAAGCCAAAACGTGTTCTGTTACCCCGTCATTAAGCCAATAAAATATCTAACATTTACATTTATAACGTTTTAGCTGTTTGCCTGTTTTTGTTCGAATTTCTAAGACTCACTTTGTGTAAGAACTCAAACTAGATAATAAAAAATCAAAGTTTTCACTTTCTATTCGGTTTCTGTGCCATAGTCTCTCGCTTTTAGGTGAAATGGCTGACCTGTTGGATATACATAATAATAGCAAAGTTTTTATTAATCTACTATCTGCTTACAGTTCAGCAATGTTTATGGTTTTTGTTAAATATACATGCTCCGATAATTTTGAGAAACTAAAATCTACAAAACTCAGACACGCACGCACACACACACAATAAATTTTACTACGTGTAAATGAATATACATATATGCTACCATGGATCGTATCAAATGTAAGTATAGAGAGGGTGGTGATGAATCTTCTTGTTGCTTCCGATATTGTCTCCACTGTCACAAGGACAAATCACGTACCCACCTCTATTCACATGCGTGCCCATCAATCATCACAAGAAAACAACATCCTCCATACTCATACTCTGCTCCTACCTTGTCCCTTCCCTCAGCTCATCTAATCAACTCTACCACCTTGTCCGTTAATCATTTCATGCTCGCCTAGATAGCTATGCTCCTCCTTCTCAATCAAAGAGAAGAAGCATACGTTTACCAAGACGTTTTCTTTTTCTGTGTTTCTTTTTTTTTTTTTTTTTGCTTTTTTTGGTTACTCTGAATCTTATTAGGCAAGGCATAATGATTGATTAGAAAGGGGAGAGAAAAGAGTAACGGAATCACAATATATCTAAACTCAACCTCAAAGTTTTAAATTTATGAGCTCTTCTCCTTTATTATATATTAATTATTAATCTTAACTTTTTCGGTACAAGATTGTTTACATCAATTCAAGTTTACTCATATTTAAATAACTTAAAAATCTCTTTTTAAGTGTGATTTTACAAGCTACCCCTATAAAAAGTACCACAAGTACATTTCACAATTCCCAGGTTTCAAGCGGTGTGGCACAGACTCCATAGCCTCTAATTGTTTTGTGGTATCTCTGCATTATTGGCTCACGAGGGCATTAATTATGAGTTCTTTTTTTATTGTTTTTACTGGTTTAATTAAATTGTGTTTGTTTTTAGCAAATGCCCACGAAAGAAGGTACAGCAGGATGTAAAAATCATCAAAAATTTGCACAATACTGAGGTTATACAAGGTCGAATGATATGAAGGCGTCTAAGTTGTTATCTCTATATATACTATATATTTGATGGTGTTCTGATAATTTACCAAAAATACAATCTCATACAGGTAAGCAGAGTTTGTCCTCACATTTCAGGAGCCTGTTCCCCAGTCTACTACTCTAGCTATGAACCTTAACCGCACTGTATCTTCATTCGATTCATTTCACTCAATATCATCCAGGACTCAATAATTGATCAGCTGCTATGATTTACTGCATAATTCATCGATATACAAGATGTATAAACTAACCCATTGTTACCTTAGTCATTTTTCGATCAAATCGATACGTGGGATCATATTAGATCAGTTAATGATCAATTATCAAAATGAAAGATTAATTACTTTTGCTTTTCTTTCAAGACTGAATGAAAAATCATCAAAGTCACGACTCTCTCTTTCGCTTTTCCGTAATTGTGTGCCCTCATGCTCTTTTGTTTATCATGCTAATTAATTGGCCTTAAATCTTAATCACAACTGGGTCCTAGCTCAACCTTTTCAGCTGGAGATTGAGGACTAAAAAACAGTGTCGTCCTTCACAGACTGTGATGGGATTTGATTGTTCTTACACTTACTCGCATGTCACATGATGAATATGACTTGCCAATTTTAATTAACTGGTACTATATGTATAATTCTAAATGTCTAATTGACATATCAGACACAATATATATATATATATATATAGGTAATGAACATTATTAGTTGAGAAATCATGCAGAATTGGGCAGTGATATGTCAGGAGTAGGATAGGAATAATGATTATATAAAATATGCTACTGACCTGTACGCGTTTTGATGTCCATTTGTATAATGTCACGTGACCAAACGGGGCAAGAATAAAACCAGAAAGAGAAAATATTGAAAGGGGTCCAATTATGCAGAGAAATTCTAGTGCTCTTAATCCAGAAAAGTTTCTCGTGACATTCCAAGTTATTTGTAAATTGAATCTGAGAAGTTTGTCTCTTTATGTGAAAATGAAACATTATTGTTGCAGAATTCACACTTTTCACAGAGCCAGCCCTGCACATTATCTACCTTGCTCAAAGCAAAACTACATGTGTGAGTGAGTGAGCATATATTGCGAAGGATAAAATCAGCTGCATCTACCAATATTGATCTTTCTGCAGCCAGATTATTCATAAATATTCTTTTATCTCCCTGTTTTCTTTTTCTTTAGTTTATATATATATATATATACACTTGCTCGCTTTGTTGTGAAATGTTACTGCAACATATATATTTAGTGTTTGTAATGCATGGAGTTTTAGGATTCTTGTGAGATGCTAGCTAGCTATCAAAACTCACGTGAGTTGGCACTTTGGAAAAGTACACTCACATGTCAATGTGATAATGGAAACAAAAATTCATTTGGAGTACAAAGTCGAGTCATAAGTGCTTGTGCATGTTGTTTTTCATGGACAGCGTGGAAAAAGGGGGGCGGTTGTGAATGGTGGTGGCAATTCAAGAATCAATAGGCAGATGTATAATATAAAAAGGAGACAGAAATTTGGATTCTATATAGTACTTCCAAATGTATGATCACGAGTTGTTGTAATGATGCCATACTATATGTGCATGTACATGCCTGATCAATAAGTAACAGACATGAATTATAAAGTATATTACACTGTTAAGCGAAAGATATTATACTGCCCTTTTCCTGAAATTTTTTAATTAGGTAATTGTTAATTGCCAAAAGTATTTTCTTAATTTAAAGGCTTATCTACCCACAATTAATAAACTTTATATAATACTCCACCGAGGGACGGATTTAGGGGGCATAGAGGGGTGCTTCCCCGCCATGTCACAAAAATTTTGCAAAAATTACATGGTTTTTGCTTATAAAAAAATGCTAAAATTATTTTTGTTCCCCCACTATTATGTAATTTAGCATTCCCCCCCCCCAACGTAGTTGCTTCTGGATCTGTCCATAACTCCACCATACTAGAAAATGCCCATGTCCCACCTACAGAACAACATTTTCTTAACCCTTACAAGCTGTACCATAAAAGAAACTCTTTCACCTAAGGAATTAGATCTTTGATTCACACCAATCATCCTTAACCAAAAGAGGTTGTCCAAACCTAAGAAAAGGTATCATAGCCATAGCCAGAGTAGCCTTACTTGACACTACTTATAAGTAATATGATAATGCTTTAATTGGTGTCATGCTGACTACTCTCAATTAAGGAAGTGTAGTTCTCATTATAGCTCCTAAGTTCTACAAGATTAAAGGTTTAGATTAGATCCATAGAGCTGAACAACACCCAAAGGCCACCATGGCTACTCTCCACCATCAAATCATCTACAGGTTACAAGATCATTCATTTGATCTTAACTTCCATAACTCAACTAGGGATGCCCTGTACATGGTTGCAAACAGTTAGGTGACTCATCAATCA